CAGCCAGGGGCAGCTCCTGTGGGTGCTGGGTGGGGTAGGGGTGTCATCTGCTCTTACCTCCCCCTCCCTTGTGCCACCCCTAACCTGGAAAGCCTTGAAGCAGCCTTGGGAGTTTTGTGTAAGGGATGGGGGGTGTCAAGGCCTCCGATCCTTAGCCTCCTGTTGGCACGCTTGCCACCTACAGGCGTGAATATAGGGGGCGCTGGTTCCTACATCTATGAGAAGCCCCTGGCTGAGGGCCCTCAGGTCACTGGCCCCATCGAGGTCCCTGTGGTGCGAACAGAGGAGAGGAAGACGAGCGGACCGCCCAAAGGTCCCAGCAAAGGTGAGATAGGCTCTGGGTGGGGGTCAGGTATGGGTGGCCAAGGTCCACCCTGACCTAACTTCTCCCTTCCAGCCTCTAGTGTCACTACATTCACGGGGGAACCCAACATGTGTCCTCGATGCAACAAGAGGGTGTACTTTGGTAAGTGACTGCCCAGTCTCCTGATTCAGGGAAACTGTGCCTCAGGGTAGGGGTTGCCACCATGACCGTCCTCCTCCCTTCCAGCCGAGAAGGTGACCTCTCTGGGCAAGGATTGGCACCGGCCCTGCTTGCGCTGTGAGCGCTGCTCCAAGACGCTGACTCCCGGCGGGCATGCCGAGGTAAGGGGTGCAGTTGCGATGCAGGAGCCAAACAGGTCTTAAGGAGGGGACAGGGAGGAAGAGCGTACTAGACTCGGGATTCCGGAACTGGTGGTGGTGGGGGGTGTACAGGAAACAAGGAATTCTGCTGCTGCTTTGCCCCTGACCTGGGATTGCCCCAGGCTCTGTGGACTGCGCTCTGGCCACTAGAGGGCAGATCTGCTGCTCTCCTTGGAGCTCTACTGTCCCTGTCAAAGGGAGCGGGCAGGCGCAGGAACTCTAAAGCCCAAGACCTCAGGGAGGCGACTCCTACACTATGAAGGTCTCACTTCGTCTGGGAAGTATGGAGTGGGGTCCATGCTCAGCACTCTCCCTACGCTGCCCACAGCATGACGGCCAGCCCTACTGCCACAAGCCTTGCTATGGAATTCTCTTTGGACCCAAGGGTGCGTATAGTGAGGGTGGAGGACGCGGGGACCTCTTTCCTTCCCCAGATCCCTGTTTGTTCCTGCTCATCCACCCCAGCCACTTTTCTTCACAGGAGTGAATACCGGTGCTGTGGGCAGCTATATCTATGACAAGGACCCTGAAGGCACAGTTCAGCCTTAGATCTGCACATGCTGTCCTCAGGATCCCTTACTTGGCCCTGAGGGAAAGTGACCTGCTGCCTAGTCCTGCCTCAGTGTGTCTTGCCTGCAAACCCCAGGGCCTAAGTGGTGGAGGAGGAAGCCTCCTGGGTAGTCTCCAGAATAGCCCAGAATTTCAGCCCTATTTCTTTGTGTGTTACCTCGGCATGTCCTATGCTACCCACTGTCCCCTTTGTGTCTGTGCGCCTCCATAGTCCATGTGTCCTGTGCCCTGTGCCCAGCATTCTCTCTGTCCGTGTCCCCATGTCCCTGATAGCTCTCCGAGGTGGCTATCCTATGCTATCCGTATGATCACGCCTGCTCACCAGTATTATTTATGCTCTGCTTGCCGGTGATGGCATGAGCTCACAGCGTTCCCGGGGTGGCAGCACCCCTGCAAGGAGCCCGCTGCTGGTTCCCACTCTATTCCCTACCTACCCCTCACGTGGTTCACAGCTACGGAGACCTTTGCTGTCAATAAATGGTTTGGTTTGAGGATTGCAGGAGCCAGTGTCGTGTGGGGGGTGGGTGTGAACCCAAGACAGTGTCCCTTTATCCCTTCACAGATGTCCCCTTGTACTCCTGGGCCCAGTATTGGTAGGGATGGGATCCAGAAGCGTTTCTGAACTGGGGAGACTGATTTAGGCATCAGTGCCAACACTGAAATGGGTGGGAAGCAGGGAGGGGCTGCTCTGGGCAGAGGTGAGGCAGTGCCTTAGACAAGGAGGGCCGATAAAGTACAGATAAGATCCGCGGAAGACAGTTCTGAGACATGCAGAGGTGTGGTATATACCTGGGGATGCAGCCGGTACCCTGGGACACAGCTCCAAGCACTGCAGCCTTTGGTCTATGTACACAAGCAGAAGCCGTGTGATAGGACCTGGAGACCCGTGACCAGAAAGGTCTGCAGATCGTGGAAGGCTGGTGAGAGCGGAAGTGGAGAACAGGCTAGGATTGGGCTGAGAAGGGTCAGCTATGGCCATTTCCTGCTTTGTCCACAGGGCAAAGCTTTTTGACCACTTTGACTGGTCTCTAGTGGGTGGACGAGGAACAGAATGAGGAAGGTCGGCTAGGAGAGGGTCTCGGGATTCATGTGACTGGGTGTGTAGTCAATCCTGTCTTCCTGGCCCAGGATCTGGAACTGGAACCCCTTCTTAGACAGTGGGTGTGTCCTTCCCTCCACTTGTTTTTTCCCCGAATGCCCACTAGACGGCGCCCCTGTATTTCAGCTTGGTGCTTTGGGAAACAGCTCTGATTGGCCCCATCTAGTCCTGCTCCATATGCAATCCAAGCCTCACCCAAAGTAGCTCCCAGATCTGGTCACTGCCACGGAGCACGAAGCCTTTTTAGGTTTGTCCCTGGCCTTTTGTCCAGCCCTCTAGGCCATTGACCCTGGTGTGGCTATGTCCGGGCCTACTGTCCTAAGGGGGAAGTCATGTCCCTGGCCACAGAGCATGGATTGGCTCCGGTGTCTGGAGTGTGTCCTTCCCCCCACCCCCAACCAAGGGGAGGTCCAACAGGTATTGGGCTCTGGAACTCCTCCCCCACACCCCGTGGCCTCTCCCATCAAGTAGCCGCTGCTTGGCTGCATGCACATTTTGGACTGAGCAGGGCAGCTATGTTCTTCCTGGTTTGGTGATGCGTGGGGGTAGAGAGAACGATAAATTGTCCGCCCTCCAGAGCAGGAAGACTTCAACCAGCTCAACCTGGTGGAAACAGAGGGGGCGGGGCTCCCTCCCCCCTCCCTGTCCCCAATCCTGGGCGGGACCTTTGAAGGAAAGAAGGGGATTCCCCTGGCTGGGCAACTAAGGCAAAGGGTCTTCCCAGGGCAGATCAATCCCCGCCCTGCGGCCAGCTTTGCTGTGCATCAGAGGGGCGGGGCAGGATCTGGCCTTTTCCTGCCGGGGAAGATGACGCTGCATGGTGTTTGTTTCCAAGGAGTTGTCGTGGAAACGCGGCGGCGCTGCGACTGTTTGTCTGGGCCTTGTTGCCAGGCGGTGTCCACTGCATTGCCAGGTCGCGTCAGTGGCACCGGTTTCCGATGCGCCCACAATGGAGGAGAGAGAATGGAAGCTTTTGTCTCTGGCATCCACCCTTCTCTGCGAGAGTGCCTTGAGCATTTATCTCCCAAATGAACATCCAGACTGGGAGATGACTCTAGACGCCCTTTTGACCACCTCACCTCATTCCAAATTCTCCAGGACCTCACAAAGAGCCTCACAGCCTAGCTGCTCTGCACAGTTTAGCTGTATTCTAGGAGTTCCTCTGACCCACTCTACCACCACCCACCTTTCTAACTTTGCAGCCCTCTCCGACCAGGCCCTCCCAGCCCCTCTCTGGGCCCCTACTTGTATGCTCAGCCCAACTTCTTTGTGGGATGCACAGCCTATGTCTGTCTGTCTCTGTCTCTGTCTCTGTCTCTGTCTCTGTCTCTCTCTCTCTCTCTCTCTCTCTCTCTCTCTCTCTCTCTCTCTCTCTCCCTATTTAGTCTTAGATCCTCTGGCCACCATTCCAGATCCCCAGCATCCTCCCTCCTGCCTCATCTTGTGTCTCCTGGGCCAGTAACTTCTGCATCAGTCCTGGGTACCCCTCTACCAGAGTCTTCCTCTAGCTCCTGGTTCCCTACAGATCCCATTTATCTCAGGGTCTGGCATAGCTGGTTCTGCTCACTGGCTGCTGGCAAAAACCTGTGTGCAGGGAATCAAAAAGATCACTGTCTGCTAGTGCCAGTATCCTGGCTACTGAGTGGGTGCAGTGCAGGCTGGCCAAAGCCCAGGGTGCTGGGTGTGAGCGGCCCTTTTCCCCGGGCCCAGACTGGCTGTGAGGGTGAGCTCCAGGCCATGAACAAGGCCTCCTCCGCTGCCACTTCGGGAAAGCTGAAATTCCAGGCAGTTCTGTCTGGGCTTTGGTTCCAGGAATCAGTCAATGGGCACAGGGCACAGCTGCAAGAGAGGCAGGGTTCGGGGTACCTTACCCGACCAGACGATGGGGCCTAGGTCAGCAGTGCAGTCCTACTGAGAAAAAGGTAGCCAAGGAACCATACTTTCTACCACCTTGCCACGTTACTTCTGGAAAAGGAGGAAACTAACTACTGACCACCTAGGCCTGAGAGGCAGAGGAAGGGCCATGTTCAACCCCCTCTCACTGGCTAGCCATCCCAGCAGGCCCACCCTAGGGCCAGATCTTATGCCAGACGGGGGTCCCTTGAGGCAAGCTGCTGAAAATAGGCCCTGGGAACTTGTAAATGTCCTCAACTGGTCTGAGGGAAGGGAGAGGGAGGGCGGGAGGGCAGGCCCTAGGGAGGCCCATGTTTCTCTGACTGTGCTCAGATGGTCTCTGAAGTGTGTGCGGGTGGTCTGTGCACCTGAGAGCTGAGGACATAGACCAGGCTCGGGTGGCCTCCAGCCCTTGAATGAACACCGCCACATGTGATTACATCCTCGGTCAGGTTCCAGCAGAGCCAGGAGATGAGGATAGTGTTTGCCACACCGAGAGGCTCTTCCCTGAGTCACTGAGTTTCTTGATGGAGCGGGTATTGAGATTCCTCAGTGGTCATCAGCCCACAGAGCCCACACCTACCTTCTCTGGCTGGCCTCAGGGCGTGGTGTCCTAGCCAGTGGAGGGCGCATGGGTGTGTGCAGAGAAGGCTTGGGCAGACATATGAATTCTGCAGGGCTCCCCACCCTGACACCCTCTGGGTTGCCCTGGTACAAGCAGTGGGGAGCTCATTGTGTGCCCTGTGAGTGCTCGTGCATGTGGAGCAACTCAGGCCTCCGTTGACCCAGTAGTCCTGGTCACTTCTCCTCCTCCAGGAATAGCCTGGAATCAGAGGAAGCAGGTGAGTGTGGGGTTGGGCTTCAGGAAGGCGAGGAGGACTTAGGCACCAGCTGAGCCTCAGCCAAGAGCTGGGTTGAGGGCTAAGGCTAGTGTTCTAGAGAGGAGCAGCAGCAGGGAACATTGCTGACACTAGGGGAGCGAGCTTTGAACTTTGAAAGTGCTCGCTCTCCCCCTCACACACACACACACACAGAGATGTATGGTACATATGTGTGTGTCAGTGTGAAGCGTATGTTTTGTCATTTTTTTTGTCTGTTTGTTTTTTTGAGTCAGGGTCTCATTTAGCCATTTAGCCCAAGCTGGCTTTAAATGTTTTATGTAGCTGAGGCTGACTTTGAATTCCTGATCCTCTTGCTTCTACCTTCAAATGCTGAAAAGGTTCTCAGGCTAAGATCAGACTCATGCCTCGAAGTCTTTTGGTACAGCTGGGGGTGTGGGTGGGGGACAGGGGTGGGGACCTAGTAGAGCCTTTTTTCTCTTTCTTTCTTTCTTTCTTTCTTTCTTTCTTTCTTTCTTCCTTCCTTCCTTCCTTCCTTCCTTCCTTCCTTCTTTCTTTCTTTCCTTCTTTCTCTCTTTCCCCTTCTCCTCTTCTTTTTTTCTCTCCGCGAGACAGGGTTTCTCTTATAGCACTAGCTGTTCTGGAACTCACTCTGTAGACTAGGCTGTCCTCAAACTCACAGAGATCCACCTGCCTCTGCCTCCCAAGTGCTGGGATTAAAAGTGTGCACCACTACTGCCCTCCTGGGATAGAGCCAGTAAAAGAAAAAACCCACCAAAGCCATAACTCATATCAAAGTTAGGTGAGAATCAAAGTAACCTTGAAACATTTGTTTCTGACAGAACATAGTAATTATTTCAGACAATTATGAACAATTAGTTTTACTTATACATTCTTCAGTTATTTTAGTTTATATTAAGTTTGTTAACATTAAGTATTCTATTTAATACATCTGGGCCATGGTCAAGGTCATAGAAATCTCCAATGCGTTTCCAAGGCAGCCATGGTTTTTGAGGGACTAAGTAAACAAAGATGGTTTTTTCTTACTTATCAATCCACTCCATCCTTTGCTGGTTTTTTTTTTTTTTGGTTTGTTTGTTTATATTTGTTTTGTTTTTGGTTTCTTTTTTTTCCAAGACAGGGTTTCTTTGTGTAGCCTTAGCTGTCCTGAAACTCATTCTGTATACCAGGCTGGCCTTGAACTCACAGAGATCCTCCTGCCTCTATCTCCTGAGTGCTGGGATTAAATGTGTGTGCCACCACAGCCTAGCATCCCTGGCTTTTTCTTTTTCCCTGTTTTTCTTTTGTTCTCTTTTTCCTTCCTCCCTTCCTTTTCTTTCTTTCTTGACAAGATCTCACTCTGTAGAGCAGGACATTGAAGAGGTGAACACTTGCTTCAGCCTGTGGAGCTGCACCAACCAGCTTGTGTATATCTTTGTGGGATGTGTCTGAAGCGAATGTCTGGGAAAATTGCTATGTACCAACAAAGACGATATCAGCCCTTGGGCCCTGCCTTGGCACACCTCCCGTGCCCATGGAAACAGAAAACAACATTAGGGAAGGCCAAGAAGACTCATTCCGGTTTTTTGTGAGGGTTCCCTAGTGCAGGGTAGGGCCTGAATCCAGGAAGGAGCTATCTCTGGGTGGGGCAGTGGATGGAAGG